TTAAGTGCAATTTACGTACCTAAAGTTAATATCAGAAATGTCTTCATATCTTGAAGACATTTCTGATATTAACTTTAGGTACGTAAATTGCACTTAAAAGCTATTTTATTATAACATATTATGAAATTTAAGAACAAAAATGGACATGTCGGTCCAGCTAGGCCATACTGTCTACTAAATTATACTAAACATAAAAAGAATATCAAAACCAGCTAGCCCTTATTTATCAAGCCTCTCCTTAAACTCCATTGAATTTACTGCATCCACCACATCCAAAGGTCAACTGCTTTGTTAGAAAAATAAAACTGTCTTAGCTGGAGATGACTCCTACCATCCCAAAATTTATATTTATGTCTCCTAGTCCAACCATTCTCGCCATTAAGTAAGATAAAAGATGATGCTTTGATTATAAATATCCTTAACAATCTTAAACACCTTAATCAGATCCCCTCTAACTTTCTCTTTTCAAGAGAAAACAATTACAAGGATCTTAACCTATCCTTGTATGAAAGCCTTTCTATTCAAGGTATCATGCTGGTAGCCTTCCCCTGAACCCTTTCAAACATTTCAATTTCCTTCCTAGACTGAACACAATACCCCAAATGTAACTTTATCAGTGGCCTATACAATGAAATTATTGCCTCTTTAGACTTGTATTCAATATTTCTGTCGATACAACCAAAATCCTATTTGCTTTACCACCAGCAATAGCACACTGCTTGGATGGCTTAAAAAAATAACATTTTTTCCCCATAACACTGCTAAAACTATTTCAATCAAACTCTTAGTTGTAATTGAAATTGTGATAACCCACATGCAATGCTCTGTATTTATTATAATTAAAAGCCATCTGCCATTTATTTGTCCAACTCACCTAATGACCTAAATCATTTTATAAAACAACAGCATTCTCCCCAAAGCCATCAACACCCAAGAACTTAATATCATCAGGAAATTTAAGTAATTTATTGACCATTCCTTCACGTATGTCATTAATGCAAATAAAAAAGAATAACAGTCCACACACTGAGTCCTGAGGTATCCAACTTGTGACAATTTGATGAGCCTTTGCTTTCTTCCATCCAGTCACTTCCTACTAATGTTGGACTGGATCTCTTTTTTTGTCGCAATAATAGCTTGAAATCAGTTTGGTATGGATTCTATAGGATGCCTGAAAATGCCTTGTTTGATTGTGCCCATTTGTCAGAAAATGTAAGATCTATAATTGCGTCACACACATATATATACAGGGGATTATGGTGGTGAATCTGACATTAAGCTAATTCATTTTGCAAATATGGTATTCTCAGGTAAACTGAAAACACTTTGGAGCTATCTCAAATAAGTCCACCAAACAGGAGATTCGATCAGGTTACGAAATTGTTAAACGGTGCTGAATTTGTACTGGCTAAGTTAATGCTAAGGGATAAGGAAATTGGACACGAAGTATGAAACACAGTAAAAACAATCTTTATTAATACACTCAGACAAAAACACGGTGCGTATACTTGCTTGATTATCTACCAGGTCAAAAGCCAAGGTTAGGTTCAGGTGAACCTTGGAATAAGACTAACTAAATGAAAAGTTTTTACTTAAAACAAAATCTCGCATTCATGTAGCGCGATTGGTCAGTCTCCTTTCGTAAGTGGAGCCGTGATATGTAGATATTACCTGTATATATACAATCAGTGAAGTACATTATCCTCGACATCTTGAAACAAGGTCGCTGTAAGCAACGTTTTCCACGGGCAATACTTGGTATCACCTATTTTAAAAATGACAAAAGAACGGAAGTAACTTGAAATAAGGTCAACTTGATAAGTTTTTGACCACCTTTTATGTAAAAAGCTGAATCTGAATGTATACAGAACAAATAATAGATTTACAATAAATATTATAACACTACTGTAAGAAGAAACCTATGTTATATTCCCATCCTACATTTTCATAAGGTTTACGTATTCACTTGAATTATCGTAGGATAAGTTTATTTTGCATATGTAAATACATGTAATACGCTATGAAAGTGTCTATATGTATAGGTCTTAATAAAATGGTCGGTGCTGATGATGACATAAGCTTGTTGAAAAGTTGTACATTTGTCTTTTGCAATAAAGTTTTCTTTATTGCCAATTAATTCCATCTCCAAACTTTATTAAAATGGTGGTCATTTAAAGTAGCTATCTTATGGTATAGAGAAAACAATTATTGCGAATAAATAAATAAATAAAGGAATGTGGTAGCGGTTGAAATTATTATTATTTGAAACTACCAGGTGCCACTCCGTTTCCCGCCTAATCAAACGAATTGGATACGACGTAGTTATTATAACATTCTTAGTTTTTTCACTTATATTTAAGTTATAAGGTTTGTGATTACAATAGCACATATTAGAAACGAACCTTTGTCATTTTCCTGTAACATTTAAATTCTGAAAATTTGTAATTTTAGAACTGTATGAATTTACCCTGTGGTTGTTTGGTTTTGTAAATATGAGTTTGTGGGTTGATAAGCACCGACCAACAAATTTGTCAAAACTAGATTTTCACAAGAAACAAGCTGCACATTTAAAGAAATTGGTATGTTAATAGTTATTCAAAGTCATGTTAATAAGAATCAGCATTAAGAAGTAATATTTTGAGTAACATGTAAATTAAATGTTAATAATGTCGATGATTGAAAAAAGAACAAGTTTCTCCATTTTCATTAAGACGTATAGTATTATAAGTAGTAGTATTATAATAGTATTAGTAGATTAGTATTGTAATTTAAAAGTATTCTCGCACAGTAACTTAAATGATACAGTGTGTGTGTGTGATGTTTTATTTGTCTTATACTATAGTATGCTTACTATTATTATTATGTTATAATGTATTATGGTCTTGTATGGTTTAAAGAATATGTAAAGCATTGATGCTACTAATAATAGTAATATATACCTGAATTATTCAGTAGATAAGCTGTTTTCATAATTATTTTTAATGTCTTAAACTGATGCAATATACCAACCCAAGTAACATTTACTTAGCCTTGTGTTTCCCTTTGTTAAGACTAATATGATTACTAGTGGCATAACTAGGTCTCCAAGGGGCAAAAGTAGTTGCTCTTCCCCGTTAAACTTTTTCTGTGTTTCAGAATGTTTTCCTCTCAATTCCAATATTCAAAATTTCAAATACCAATTTAAGGACTAGTCTAGATCCTGGGACAGTTGCTATTGATCATTACTATAAAGTTAGTAAAAATAATAGTGACAGTGGTTACTATACTTATGGGCATTATCAAGTTGGATCATTGGGGCAAACAACTCCCTTACCCCAACTACATTTTAATGGTCATTAAAAATTAAATTTAGTGCTGCAAAACCTGCCAGATGTATAATTATAATTTTATATTCGTAACCTTTTATGTTTGTTAATGTGACACTTGTAATGATACAGAGGTAGAATGTTGATTCCATAATGTATGAATAACAATGAAAATCACTCTCCTTCAAAGAAGGAGTATAATATCAGTTCCTGAAATATACTATTTCTTCTATTTGGTTCTGCTGTTTTAAAAACTAGGCCATGTCTTTGTTCTATTTCATTTTTATTCAGAGAAAAAGTTGCAACTCTACCAAATCACAGTATTCAAGTAATATAATTAACAAGATGGTTATAGATTGTAAGAAAATGATAGAAGTATAACAGTGTGTTAGACCTTATCTTATGCTGAATAATAAGTCTTTAACATTATAAGCTAAACTGGTTTGTTGGAGGGAGAAAAGAAAAACCTGCAAAAAAAATTCTGGTATAGAAGGCATTAATTATTTTTTAAACTTAGGCAGTGTGAGAGAGTAAAGGGGCAGATTTGACTAAAATGTTTAAAATAATTAAAAGTTTGGCATACTATCTTTTAACTATGTTTTCTAGCATGATTGGGAATAATTACTTGATTGGTAGGAATTAAGCTTATAGATAAAAGCTCTGGAAGTCTTAAGTAGGTTTTTATTTTCACTTGGCTGATTTATTTATAGAATGCTTCACTGGAAGAGCTAATAGTTTCCTAACATAATCATCTTTGGATCATTTAATAAACAGAAAAGGTTACATAAGGTTGTGTTATCTGACAGGTTCATGGTGGCGACTTTCCACACTTACTGGTTTATGGACCATCAGGTGCAGGGAAGAAAACCAGAATCTTATGTCTTTTAAGAGAGCTGTATGGAGCTGGCACAGAGAAGCTACGGATTGAGCATCAGCATTTTCAAACTCCTTCAAAACGAAAGATTGAAATTGTTACTATAGCTAGTAACTACCATATTGAAGTGAACCCAAGGTATTTGAACTTTATTAATATATCAATTGATAAGTTTATATTGGTTTAGTTATATGTTTTATTCTCTCAAATATTCAGTCAAGTTTACTTATAAGAACTTTTCATCGTACTATTAGGCCACTCTGCTGGATGCTTAATTTCCTCTGTTGGAAAACAAGTCACAATGGAAATGTAATGTTCTTTATTGAGAAACCAGTCAAACTGGATATTTAATGTCTTTTGTTGAGAAACCAGCAACACGGGATGTTTAATGTCCTTTGTTGAGAAACCAGCAACACGGGATGTTTAATGTCCTTTGTTGAGAAACCAGCAACACGGGATGTTTAATGTCCTTTGTTT